TAGCTGAGAGTTCAGACTATGAGAAGGTCAAAGCAGCAATATTAAAAGCATATGAATTAGTACCTGAAGCATATAGACAAAAATTCAGAAAGTATAGGAAGTTTGATAATCAAACATTTGTTGAATTTTCACGAGAGAAAGAAAGAAGATTTATTCGATCACTGGTTTAGATCTAAGAAACTTGATAAAACTTTTGCTAATTTGCGCCAAGTCATCCTGGTAGAAGAGTTTAAGGAATGTGTTCCTCAAGATTTGAAAACACATTTAGAAGATAAGAATGTGAAAACTCTTGAAGAGGCAGCAGTCATATCTGATACTTATGCTCTGTCTCATAAAAAGAATTTTGTATCAAGATCTCAGACTAGCAGTAATTCTACCAATTCAGACACATATAAAAAGAGTGGTTCAGGGTCTCAGTCTTTCACAAGTTCCCAGTCTCCATCCCAAGGTGGTTTTAAGTCCGGTCCAGGACGTGTTGAAGGATCGTCTGGAATAGGGTCGCTTCCTACTTGTAGTTATTGTGAGAAAAAGGGTCATCTGATCAGTGAATGCTTTAAACTTAAGAGAAAAAATGATTTTGATAAAACTCAACCACACGCTTGTGCGGCAGTTAGAGGTGATAGAGAAGCCTTAGTTTCGATTTGTTCTGACACTCCTGATGTCCAGGGTTCACAGTCCAGTTCTATTGATTCTGTGGAGGATTATAAGCCCTTTATGTCTCAGGGATTTGTTTCACTCGGTAACTCTAGCGAAATAAAACCTGTCCAGATTTTGAGAGATACTGGTGCTGCACAGACGTTATTGTTAGAGGGCGTGCTTCCTTTGTCTGAGCAGACTTCTACTGGTGGGTCAGTTTTATTACAGGGTGTGGAGCTAGGTGTCATTGATGTTCCCCTGCATAGAATTAGTTTGAAGTCAGATTTAGTTACTGGACCTGTTATCGTAGGTGTTCGACCTACTCTTCCTGTTCCAGGCATTTCTTTGTTGCTAGGCAACGATTTAGCTGGTGGGAAAGTTGTACCAGATCCTATAGTTTGTGAGAAAATCACTCCAGATGTTATGTGCGATGATGAAGATGATGACATTTATCCAGCCTGTGCTGTTACTAGAGCGATGGCCAGAAGACGAGAAATGGAGGCAGACCATACTCAAGCCTTTGACGACGAATTCCTCTGTTGATATTGATTTGAATGACACTTTCTTATCTGACCTTGATGGCACTCAAACAAGCATGGAACCACACAATATGAAGAAGCAAGAGAAGAAAGAACTTTTACCAAAATTTGGTGGTGAGGATGATGTTAGCCAAGGCAAGGACATCCTCAGCCGAGAACGTTTACTCTCTGAACAACATAAAGACCCAGATATCATTCAACTTAGTAAGAGGGCACTTCCACCAGAAGAGGCTATTAAAGTTGGAGAATGCTTCTATATGAAAGATGGCATCCTTATGCGAAAATGGCGACCACCTGACGCTTCTCCAGATGAAGTGTGGCGTGTTGTTCACCAGATAGTGGTCCCAGCTGCTTATCATCGAGATGTCATGAGTTTAGCCCACGATACACCTATGGCTGGTCATTTAGGTATCAATAAGACTTATAATAGGATTTTGAGTCATTTTTATTGGCCTAAGCTAAGGAAGGATGTTTCAAAGTTTTGCAAGTCATGCCATGTCTGTCAGATGGTAGGTAAACCAAATCAGAAGATACCATCTGCTCCTCTCCAACCCATTCCAGTTTTTAAAGAACCGTTTAGTCGAGTGTTGGTGGATTGTGTAGGACCTTTGCCAAGGACCAGATCAGGAAACCAGTATTTACTTACCATTATGTGTACATCCACTCGATTTCCTGAAGCCATACCTCTTAGGAATATAAAGGCAAAGAGCATAGTTAAGGCCCTAACCAAGTTTTTCAGTTTTGTAGGAGCACCCAAGGCAATTCAGTCGGATCAAGGCTCAAATTTTATGTCGGGGTTGTTTCAGCAAGTCATGCATGAGTTGGGTATTAGGCAGTATAGATCAACTGCTTATCATCCTGAGTCCCAGGGAGCGCTAGAACGTTTTCATCAAACCCTAAAAACAATGCTGAAGACCTATTGTTACCAGTATGAGAAAGACTGGGATGAAGGGGTTCATCTTGTACTATTTGCTGCACGAGAGGCAGTCCAGGAGTCTCTTGGGTTTAGTCCTTTTGAATTGGTGTTCGGACATACAGTTAGAGGTCCTTTGAAATTGTTGAAGGAAAAGTGGCTGACTGAGACTAGTGATCTAAATCTTTTAGATTATGTGTCTGATTTCAAAGAAAACTTTACAATGCTTGTAAATTAGCACAAGAAAATTTGAAGAGTTCTCAGTTGAAAATAAAAATGTGGTATGACAAAGATGCCAGAAATAGGGTGTTTAAGCCAGGTGATAAGGTTCTTGTATTTTTACCTATTCCTGGTCATCCTTTACAGGCCAGATTTTATGGCCCTTATGAAATTGAAAGCAAGATCAGTGATGTAAACTATGTAGTTAAGACACCAGGTCGACGTAAAGAGAAACGGGTTTGTCACATTAACATGTTAAAAGAGTATTTTGAAAGGTGTGACCGAAATTCTGTAAAACCAGTTTCCACTTTAGCCAATGCTAAGACTGTTCAAAATTGTATTGAAAGTGATACGAGTGTAGAAATGAATGAGAAAGATTGTAATCAGAGTGTTCGTTTGAAAAACTCAGAAATTTTGGATGATTTTGATGCCAAACTTGGACATTTGAACATTCATCAAAAAGAACAAGTTAAAAACTTGATGAATGAGTATCATCAAATCTTTTCGGATGTTCCAAAGAAAACTAATGCAGCTTGTCATGATGTCATAGTGAGTGACGTTCTGCCTATCAAACAACATCCGTACCGTCTGAATCCAATAAAATTGCAGTACCTAAGAAGGGAAGTGCAGTACATGTTGGACAATGACATTGTTGAACCTAGTAAAAGTGATTGGAGCTCACCGTGTATTCTTGTACCAAAACAGGACAGTACCTACCGATTATGTACAGACTTTAGAAAGGTGAATTCTGTTACCAAAACTGATTCATATTCAATACCTAGAATCGATGACTGTATTGACAACATTGGAAACGCGAAATTTGTCAGTAAATTTGACCTGTTGAAAGGCTACTGGCAAGTGCCGTTAACAGAAAGAGCAAAAGAAATATCTGCTTTTGTTACACCAGATGGACTTTACCAGTATAAAGTAATGCCTTTTGGCATGAAAAACGCACCGGCTACATTCCAAAGGATGATTCACTCCCTTCTTCAAGACCTTGAGGGATGCGAGGCCTACATTGATGATGTCGTCATATACAGCGACACATGGGACGAACATCTCCGAATCATGCGTGCTTTATTTGACATTTTAGCTAAAGCAAACTTAACTGTGAATCTTGAGAAGAGCGAATTTTGTCATGCTTATGTAGAGTATTTAGGTCATAAAGTAGGTCAAGGTTATGTTACACCCATTATGGCTAAAGTGGAAGCTATTGCAAAGTTCCCGATTCCTACAAACAAGAAAGAATTAATGAGGTTTTTGGGCATGGCTGGGTTTTACAGAAAATTTTGTCCAAATTTTTCCTCAGTTGTTAGTCCACTTACAAATCTTTTACAAAAGAAGGTTAACTTTGAATGGACAAAGGACTGTGAAAAATCCTTTCATAAAATAAAATCTGTCCTTATGAGCAACCCAGTTCTGTCAACTCCAGATTTTTCTAAGCAATTTAAGCTTACTGTTGATGCTAGTGATGTTGGAATCGGGGCAGCTTTGTTTCAAGAACATAGTGATAATATAGATAGAGTTGTTTCTTATTTTTCAAAGAAACTTACAAAATGTCAACAAAACTATTCCACCATTGAAAAGGAATGCCTTGCTTTGTTGTTAGCTTTACAGCATTTTGATGTTTATTTGAATGTTACTTTGCATCCAATTCTTGTATATACGGATCACAGCCCCCTGACATTTTTGCATAAATTGTCAAACAAGAATCAAAGACTGACTAGATGGAGTTTGTTGTTACAAGAATACAACATAACAATTAAGCATATCAAAGGCAAAGATAATGTTATTGCAGACGCCTTGTCAAGAGTAACGTAAACATACTAGATTTTGTATTAATGTACAAAACTTTTATTTTAATAATATAAGTTTTCATTGACATTCAAACTTTTTTAAGGGGGGAGGTGTTGTGAGATGTGTATTGTTTTATTATGTATATAATTAGTAACATTAAGTTTCTTGAACATTCCAGAGTGGTCAACATGTTTGGTCATTTTATCTAGAACATTCTTAAATTTTGTGTATGTCCAGATTGTTCCAGTAATATCATGTTTTAACATTTTCTAGAATATTCTAGATTTATAATACTGTATAAATACCCTGTCAATTCAATGCATAGATATACAATAATTGTGAATACTTTGTCGTATAAGCACTATTGAGATATAACTGGGATATATTTTCATTGGGACATTGTGTGCAGCAACGGACACTCTGATGTATGTATTCTTAGATTTTTGCTAAGTTTGTACTTTATGTTTCATATACTTATTATATATTACTGTAAATAAATTATTGTTAAGTTTAAATTGTGTTATTGATCTTTGCTGGCATTTCGGGTAATTCTGACCCATAACAATACAAGTACCAGGTAATATTTTGGGAATTAGAAAGAGATTATGGAGAGGCTTTAAATTGCTTACGTCATTTAAGATAGCTGCCAGCTCATCCTTACTTATTGTCTCATCGCTGTTCTCGTCAAATTTCGATGAAAGCTTAAGAAATAGTAGTATACATTTATTTACCATTATAGTTTCTATAAAGATTACGAATTATTTCTTTTATATTTTAAAATTTCTTTCCACAAAGCCAAAAATTAAATAAATGAAAGATATAACGCCTTAAAAAACATCATGCAGATTGATGGATTTAAAAAATTAAGAAAATATATTTTCACCTCTAAAAATTTATTAATGGCGTCTTTTACAAGCACATGTTCTTTTCTCAGCTTCATTTCTTTTTTCATTCTTTGTGTAGCTTGTCTGTTAACAAAAAATTCAGACCATTGAGACCACATTTTGAAAGTAAAGACTATTGAAATTTTCATAAGTAAACTCTGTGATAAAAATGATATATACCTGCCCATTTTTGTCTCTCTCGGGGTACACTATTCGTCTCTTTTCTCTACTCTCGTACACGTCTCTGAAGCTCTGCTGTTCATTATCACTATACTGAAAGTCGTAATTAAAATCTTGATTTTTAAAAAATACTGAAAGTGCATTATAAAATCTTAGAATAAGAAATACTTTAATGCTCTATTTTTCATTTTTTTTTCTTGAGTCATTGGATCTTGTACATGTATATCATGAATTTTATACATGTACTAGTATATATTTTAATTTTTTATGTATATTTTAGCTCATTTTGAGCTAAAAGCTCAAGTGAGCTTTCGCTGATGACCCCGTTGTCTGTAAACTTTTCACATTTTCAATTTCTTCTAAAGAGCCACTTGGCTAATTTTCATCAAACTAAATACAAAGCATCCTTGGGTAAAGAGAAGTTTAAATTCTAGAAATGCTTATAGGACCAAGTCTCGTTCCAAGATGTGATAATCAAGAAAAGACAAAAATAGGCTGGGTCTTAACATTTTTTTTCTCAAGAACCACTGGGCCTGAAAAGCTGAAACTTACGTGAAAGCATCCTTGGGTTGTGTAAATTCTAAATAATTTAAATCATAACCCCTGGGGATAGGGCGGGGCCAAAATAGGGAATTCAACTTTTACATTGAAATATAAAGAAAAAACTTTAAATAACTTCTCCCAAAGAAAAACTGGGTCAAAGAAGCTGAAACTTGTGTGCAAGCATCCTAGGGTTAACCTTGTATAGATTCTAAATTGTTCAAATTATGACACCAGGGGTGGAGCGGGGCCACAATAGCGAATCCAAGTTTTACATTGAAATATATACTAGTGAAAAAAAACTTTAAAAATCTTCTCAAGAACCACTGGACCAGAAAAGATGAACTTAAATGGAAACATTCTGATGTCGAATAGATTCTGGATTTTTCAAATTATGACCCCAGGGGTCGAGCAGGGCCACAATAGGGAATCTAAGTTTTACATTGAAATAAATAGAAAAAATAAATCCTTGTAGATCTTCCCAAAAACCTCTGGGACAGAAAAGCTGTGTGATATAAAATCTCACCAATACAAAACCCAAAGTTTTTGAGGCTTTCAATTCATCCCGAGCAAACCTCTGTCTTTTGTCCATAATATAATGAATTTTCTCCATTGGTTGTAACCTTTTGAAAAATGTATCTTCTTTCTTCATTGATAACCACCACCCTTGTATAGAATATATAATATATCATAAATTAAAGGTCAAAACAAAAATTCTCTCTCTCTCTGTTTCATGGTATAAATGCCTTAATATCTTTTTAATTACACACCAATATTATTATTGTACAAATATTAAAGTTTACTATAAATTAATAATATTTTTGAAAAATACATTCAAGTAATTTATTTGCAAGGAGAGGTTACTCATTTTTTAGTTTCATTTCAAATGGGCTGAAATCTCAATATCATATGCTTTAATTTGAAGTTATTTGTAAAATGAAATTCGCTCATACCATCAAAACACGAAATGGGATAGTTAACCAGAATTCCTCCGTCTATATAGAGATTTTTTTGGCCGGATATTACATATTGAACGGGTTGCATCAATCCTATAATAGATCCACATACAAAGATTATATCAGCCATATTTAATAATATAATTAGTTAAAGCTAAATTTTGTGACTACAAATTGTTCGCCTATGAAAGTTAAAATTCTGAACCCTAGGTCTTTATGAAAGAGAAGTGTTTCTGACCTGGCAAGCTGGCTGACATGCGCATAGCCATTCTGAGAGGAACATTGGGAGTTGTTTTAAGGTGGAAGTACTCTTCCTCCATATTGTTTACATTCATCACCACGATACAAAGCTCCTTCCCAGTTTTTGTGTACAACTGTAGAAAATTCTTTATAAAATGAGTAAATCATAAACTATACTTTACCACTAGTTTAACAAAATACATTAATCAAAGCAAAATAATGTACAAGTGGAAATCTAAGCTGATTTTTTTCTCTTCAAAGGAAAATTATCTTATAAATAATTTGCCACTTTTAAATTGAATTTGAATTACAAAACATGATCTGGATTCCAAAAGATCGTAAAATTAATCCCAAAAAATCTCTGCATATGGTTCTAGGCCAAATGTCAATTCATGTCTTACAAAGAGTAAATGATATTAATTTTAAAAGAACAAAGGTAAGATGCATGTACTATCAAATCACATCAGGTGATTTCATTAATATGTTGAGAACTGACATCTTTAAAGGTAGCATCTTTATTCGCGCAAGCTTTTCCGCAACAAGATCTCCAAAAAATTCAAATAATGTGTTCATTGGCTGCCATCCCAGATGGAACAACATATTTGGTATAAGACTTAATCGTCCTAATCTTGCATCTAAAAATAAAAAAGATATATAGTTATAGTTATTCATGTTATTATTAAGGTTCGTCTGATGTAAACAAAATTTAATATCTTATTTTAGTGAAAGGTTGTGACAATGATAGAAATGCAAGTATTTCTAATCTTTAAAAAAATCATTAGGTAATGTTGTTTTAGCATATTTCTTAATATAATAAAGAGCTCCAATTTCAATTTACAAATGTACATGTTTACCTTATCCAATGTAATCCTATGAAACAAGCTATTTTATTAACAGAATAATAATTTCATATTGATTGTTAGACCATTATGTACACTGATTTGTCCCTAAATTTTTTCCATTATTTCCTGATCATGACAAGGAACACAGGGCGGGTGTGGCAGTTCGGCAGGGGATGCTTAGTCCTCCATCGCACCTGATCCCATCTCTAATGTGGAGGTCCGTGTTTGCTCCGCTCCTTTTTTTTGTAATATTTAATGGACTTCTGAGCTCGAATACTGTTCGTTATCTCCACATATTCCATTGTTCAAGATTAAATTATACGATGTTTAGATAAAAAGGAGGTCTCTCCGTATTTCTGAGTAGTCTTTTGTTAAATATGCCTCATCTATTTCACTTCTCAAGAGTATATCCTAAGGTATTATGAAGGGTTAGATACATGTATATAAAGAAACCATTTTTGTGCTTTAAAAAAATTATGAGCTTTTGCATTAATTATTGAACGAATCTCATATTTCTTGTGATGATACATACCATAGAACGTTCTGAAATCTTTCTCCAAAACTTCTTTTATTTTCGTGGAATTGTAACCAAGGGCTACCATGCAAGCAGTCATTGAACCAACACTTGTTCCAGCAAAGCGTTTAATTTGCTTTATCAGCCCTAGTTCTTCCAAGGCCTGAAATCAAAGCAATTGCTCATTTTGAACCATCCTCTTGCAAAATCCTACCTGTTTAAATGAGTGTAATTTTATTGCTCGATACTAGAATTATTCTTTTCTTCATGGAATAGCTGCAAATGAAAACAATATAAATGAACGAGACTTATTTTCATTTCAAACATTTTCAAATATCCTTTCTGCTTTCGTTTTTTTTTTTTTGTGTGTGTGTGTGGGTGTGTTAATTAATATTGATGTATTGTATTGCAAAGGTGTTGGTTTGTTGACTTTAATATCAACGTAATACTTTTTATATGTCATAAATGTATATTTAAAACATGTTAGTCAGATGATATAAGACGTGTTTTTATACTAATTGTTAGACCGTTATTTACACACTAAAATATCATCGGATTTTCCTGTCATTTCCAGATCATGACAAGGAGCTAACAGCGGGTGTGACTGGTTGACAGGGGATGCTCACTCCTCCATGGCACCTGATCTCATCTCTGATGTTTAGGAGGTTCGTGTTTATTCTGTTCCTGATTGCTATTGTTTAATAGATTTTTGAGCTCGTTATCTCCTGTAACGTTTTTACAATGTACAAATGATTATCAATTGGGTTCGCTTAGGTTTTCTTCCTAAGAATCACGTTTACAATATAAAATCAAAACAAACTTCAATAGCTTCAATGGCACTAAAAAAAAATGAAATTTACTATATATACTTTTTCCTTGGTTCTATCTGAATAATGATTGTCAAACTAAACAATAACGAACTATAACAAAAGAATCACTAATAACTTATCAAACCAATGATCCAACCTTTTACAATATCCCTGTAGCTGCAGACTAAGTGGTTTGACTAACAGTCCGGTTGTTTTTCGACACAGTCTGCAACTACCTAAAACACACCCTAAAAATCATAAAGTCACAGGTATACACTAAGAAACACAAACACAAACACAATCTAAGTTACCAAGACACCATAGCTACTAACAGGACTATTTTTGTTAGACACAAGTTAAAGTCACCGAGACACCATAGCTAGTCACAAAGACACTAGGGAACTAGGTCCCTGGGCTGAGTGGTCTAATTAACAATTTTGTTGTTTCCCGACACAGCCGAGGTACCTCCCTAAGTCACCTAACCCCTACAAAGAGTTACACCAACAGTAAACGAAGCTGGATTGATCCCTGAATTTATACTATTTTGCCTCTGTTCGTTAAAGTGCTAATTGGTTAATAATTCTTAACATTTGGTTGGCTAAAATGTCAACTCTGATTGGGTGCACACAAAATGATTTAATTGGGTGATTCAAAACCATTTCAGTCCACTTTACTTATTCTGATTTATTACACTCCATATACATGTGTTTCATTGTTCCGATACTGCGGATTTCAATTATCATTTTTTCAAAAATCTTTTGCTCTGGAAATTGTTATTGAAAAGCTTGTTCATAATTTTTATCTATGTAAAACGAATCATTTTATGATATATATTAATGCACTAAATGTTTATACCTGGATAGCCCCCGGATAAGCCACACCTTTAGCTCCGCCTCCCTCAAACACAAGATTTTCAAAAGGAAACGGGTCCTCAAAATCTCTAAGGTCCAAAGATATTGGAAAATCCTCTTCTGATGTTTCTAATTAGGAACAAAGTCGTTTTTGGGATAAAACGTCATAAGTAACAATCTGATTAAAATACAGATCTCTAATAGTGCAAATGCGCTTTGCGCTATGTAGAGATCTTTATTTTAATCAGATTGCATGGGGTAACAACATATAAACTGAGAATAAAAAGCTTACCTGGTTCGTCAGAATCATTGTCAACGTCTCTGTTTAGAAGACCTACGATATAGTTGTGTGTTCTGGCATCTTTTTCGGTTGTCTCTTGCGAATCTGTTATCGGTTTGGAAGAAAAACTCCTCCCATCAGTATTCCTTATAAAAATTATATATGTGATAGAACGTGTATATACATGTATGTAAATCTGTAAATAAGCCGAAACTGATTCATCTTGAGATATTTGCTTCGAATTATGAAACCACGCATCCAAGTGACATAATGAAGTAGTTACAGTAAACTTTGCTTGGCGACATCTGATATTCAAAAAATGTTGACTGTGTAGAATTTGTGGGCGCAGAATTCACTGTTTTTCCGAAGCATCTAATAGCATTTATATATTGATTAATTGTATATTGTTTAAAGTCCCTCTCGAGAATTTTTCACTCATATGGAGACACCACCACTTGACGGTGAAGAGCTGCAAATCCTAAACTTGGCACTAAGGGCCATTGAGCAGTGAGGGATCTTTTTCGTGCCAGCACCTACTGCGACACGGGACCTCGGTTTATACGGTCTCATCCGAAGAACCGGTTTCCACGTCCCACAGTGTGATTCGAAACCGCACCGTAAGGATCGACTCCTTACTTCGCGACTCTAGAGCAGACGCTCCAACCACTGCGCAACGCGGGCGAATTAAATAAAGAGCGCATTCAGGTTATGGTAATATTTGATTTTTTCTTCTGTTTCACAATGACTTTTTTGAAATGAAAATTTTGAAAGATTGTGAGAAGATACTACAGAATTCAACACAAAATTTTCATATTACTAGAAAAAGCCGTGTTCAATAAAACGCTAATGGTAAACGTGATGAATTTAATTTTTAGGGCCTGTAATATTTTGTCAAAATAGCAAAATTCTCATTTTCCAACAACATGCAAAAAATTATTAGTTTTGATTGAATAGTATTTGAAATATTCAAAAAGTGAGCGTTTTTCTGTGACAACCCTCGTAATTTTTTGTTAAATCAAAAAGGTAGGTTATCTAGTGAAGAAACACAAAGAAAATAGACAGAATTATTTTTGAGTTGTTCATACCTTATTTCCTTTTTTGCTGGGATACAAGATAGATTCATATGAAGGAACGTTATAATGTTAAAAAAAATTAGTGTTGAGAAGTTTATAACCCATTACCGGAAAAAGGTGTATATCCTGACAAATTTCATCAAATTTCATCAACAAAATTCTTATGGCCATTCAAACGTCTAACATATAGAACACGTGCGTCATTTCCTGTTTCATTGTCATACTGTGACTTAAAGGAAGGAAAAGTAAAAAGGAAGACAGATATCTTATTAAGAATAGTCTTTACCTCTAAGTTTATATCATGTAAAAAGGTGTATATTTTCCTTAAACATTAATACTTGTTTATATGCAACTCTGTACTTAATTTTTTTTTTTTAAATAAACAAAACAAATAATTAAGAAATAAAAAAAAAACCAAAATGTGATTTAAAACCCCCCCCGGATATTTTAAAATTGTACATACACAAACTATCGCTTAAAATTGTTCATTTTGAACGTACATTATACGTATTATTCATAATCACTAGAG